CACTTTTGCAGCAAAATATGGTACTTTCAGAGAGCCACACAAATAACTTTATTCGTCAATTTCTAAGGGATTAAGGCCAAGGACATTTTGATACTCTCCGTGTCGGTGTGAAGACAACACTTAATAGCCCGTTAGAATGCCTCAGCGGGTTATGGGATTCACGACTGAACACACTGCGCGGTATTCTTTCTCAATCTTGCGTCTGAACCCTGAAGAGTCTCATTGCTTTCACTGTGCGAATTCAACATGCCATACCAGAGTGCCGGTATAGTGATATCCCAGTGTCTGATTACCGGTGCCCGTAACAATCAGGCTCGTGAAAGGCTGTTGTCGGAAGACGAGACGACAATGAGCTTGGAGAATGCTTGTAATATTGTTCGGCAGCTGAGAATGTCCATAAACAGTTGGTAACGTTTTCCAGCAACCACCTACAAACACAATGCTATCAATCGACCAGAAAAGTGTTACCTCGAGACGGTCCGAATTGTCTTTTACGTGCTACTGATGTGGAAATCGTCATTTGTCGATCAAGGAATGTCGTCATTAGCAGAGTATTTGCAGTCAGTGTGGAAAATTAGGCCACTCGCACCGAGTTTGCCGATCTAAAGCTGGTACAGCTACGACATCACGATTTCCAAGGAAACCCGTGAAGATCACCCAGCCTTCAGACGAAGATGACCAGCTAAACACGATTTGGAACGCAACGTCGAGTATCTGTACCATTCATCCACCTTATGTTGTGAAACTGGAAATAAAAGGTCCGTTGGTTAAAATGCAAATTAATACCGTTGCTGCATCTGCTAAAAAATTACCCAAGCTATCCCCTGTGAGTCAATTTTGCGGACGTACACCAAGCAACCGATACCACTCTTGGGAAAGTGCGCTGTTCACGTTACTTATCATGGGGTTAAACGGATCTTACAGCCATACGTTGTGGCGAATGATTGTCCAAAGTTGTTCGGGCGTGGCCAGATTAAATGCCTCCCAACTACGCTAGAGATAGTTAAGTTCATGTCCATTATTCAGAACTTGGAGGATGTCCTGAACAAATATTTCTACATCTTTGATGATAAACTGAAAATTGAACGGATATTAGGCCAGTATCAAATTTCCTCCCGGAACTCAGCCCCTCTTCTTCAGAACACGTACTTTCCCTGAGATCAAAGTTGGAAGATGAGATAAAGAGAATGCACTCAGCAGGAACAATCGAGCCAGTCCAATACAGTGAGTAGTGAACTCTAATAGTCCCAGTCCTGAAGTCGGATAGTTCTGTACGTATTTGTGGTGACTACAGACTAACTGTTACTCGTTGTATAATTCTGTATAAGTACCCCTTACCTTATCCCCAGGATCTGTATAGTACGCTAGCAAGTGGACAAAAGTTCCTGCAGATCAACCTCCGTCACGCGTATTTACAAATTGTGTTAGACGAGACCTCTCGCTCATGCACTACGATAAGTACCAGCATCGGTCTATTCTCGTACAAACGTCTGTCCTTCGAGGTCAGTTCCGCCCTGGCGATATTCCAAATGGTCTTTAACAATATGACTAGATATTCCTTTCATTTGCGCCTATCTTGACGGCATCCTGATTACAAGACGCACAGATGCTGAACATTTACGGACGGTATCTACTGTGTTCGAACGTTCACAACTGAGTGGGCTCAAACTGAAGAACTACAAGAGTACATTTTTCTTGGATTCTGTTCTCCCCATAAATGTGGATTACACTTGTTAGATGACAGTCAAGCCCATCCTTGTCGCACCTGAACCCAAGGATGAGGCTGAACTGCGATCATTTTGGGATAGTTTTCTCACTATCGTCGTATTTTACCTAACACCTCAACAGTATTCGCACATTTGTACTAACTGCTGAACAAGAGAAAATCCTGGATGTGGGGTCTGGATCAAAGAATCGCCTTCACAGATTCAAAATGAGCGCTCAGCGTCTCCTCATATTTCGAGTATCTAGATCCGAGCTGGCGCCTAGTGCTGCAGTGTGATGTGCGCCGGCGCGAAGTAGGCGCAGTCCTTTGCCACCCGACAGATGATGGTTCCCTTCGTTCAATCGCTTTTGCTTCTCGCACCATGCAACTCGTTGAAAAGAATTACTCCTAACTAGATAGAGGCTTTAGCGATTAATTTCGGAATCAGGCATTTCCACCAGTACGTCTGGGGAAGACAGTTCGATATCCACACTGATCATAAACCACTTCTTTCGATTCTGAGTGAGAAGGGAATCCAGCATATGTCTTTACCTTGAATGCAAAGATGGGCACTACTTTTGAGCGCCTGTAACTACAAACTTCAGTATGCAAACGGACTTGGTAATACTATTGCCGATGCACTGAGTCCCATGCCGTAGCCGCATGGCACAAAAACAAACAGTGAACCCATAGAGTTTGTCAGTTTAATGCAACACCTTGAAATGACGCCCATCCGGAGTGAGGTGGTGCGGACCGGGCCCCTGTATTGTCGATGGTGAGGCGGCTCTTGATAACCGGATGGCATACAAGCACGTTAAACGAACTGAAACCATTCGCCTGTCGTAATATTGTGTTAAGCCCATAACGGTTATACATTTCGAGGCACGCGCATATTTTCACCCGACGAACTACGGCCTTAGTTGCTGAGAGAGCTGCATGATGCACACCTTGGCGTGAACAGCATGAAGGCGCTTTCATGTGATCGCTGTTGGTGGCCGAACCTTGACCAGCATATAGAGCGGCTGCTGAAAAATTGCGAACAATCTCAGAAATACCGGACATTCTCCCGGACCGATACGTCCAAGACGTTGACCGGAGTGGCCTTGGCAGTGGGTGCACGTGGACTACTTTGGCCCAATCAATGGGCTGATGTGTCTACTTTTGACTGATACCCATTCTAAATGGATAGAATTACAAACAGTTTCACATGCGACTTCCGTTGCAACAGTTGCAAAGCCGAAAATCTCTCGGACCGATACACACATTACAGCGACTGGAGAGGCTCTGGCAACGGGCACACATAGACTATTTTGGCCCGATCAATAAAATGATTAATGCTCACTATAAATGAATAGAACACCAAGTTCCACATGCGATTTCCACGGCAAATGCGCTCCATATTTGCCGTATTTGGTATTCCAAAAACGCCGTGCACTGACAACGGGACATCATTCACAAGTGAGGAGTTTCAACAGCTCCTAAGTAACAAGGGAATACAGCATATCAAGCCTGTGCCCTATCACCCCGCGTCGATTGGAATGGCAGAACGTGCAGTCCAGACTGTTAAGCAAAGTCTTCTCAAGCAGACTCACGGGACTGCAAACTAAGTTGTGTCGTCTCCTGTTCTCTTACCGCATGACATCGACTAAGTCGACAGCAGTCACCCGCAGAGTTGCTGTTTGGCCTGCTACTACGAACAAGACTGCTTCCTTTTTCCGAACCATCGAAGCTACATGAAGGCAAGGCAGGAAAAGATACATGGGATGACAAGATGCCAGAGGAAATATTCATCCATTGTACACAAGACTACCTCATGAAGCAAACTGGCAAACCGCTGCACTTATATCCTGCACGAGTAACCAAGCGGAGCTACAGCTGAAGGACAGCCACGTGGTGCGCCACCACATTGACCACATCCGGCCACACTCATCGAACCGCATGAGCTGGGTCAACTATCGACTGCTATTGACGCAAAAATTGGATGCGAAACAACCTAAGTTAAGACGTTCGAAACGCACGCCTAAGCCAGTTAATCGGCATCAACCCGGAATCTGCAGTTTTTACCAGGGAAGAGAGACATGCACTTGAATATTGATCGCGAACACAGCTGCTCACCCGATTGGTTGACAGTGATCTTGCTTTACCTTTCTTATTTCATTAGTTCTTCACTTCGGCATTCCTAGCCACTGTAACGTAGAAAGCTTTCATTAAAATAGTTCTACACTATGCGTCGCGTTCTACTTTGTCCATCGGGCTACGGGTCATACCTAACAGTGTTGTAAACGACAAATTCGTTTTGGGGTTGCGTAACTCGTGAAACTTCAGGGCCAAACCAAAACAAACTTGTAAGTTAACTGCGCTATTGTTCAAATAGGTATTAAAATGCAATACGGACATACCTCAACATTACTCATTCAGTGTTGAAACAATCGGGTTCTTACAAGGTACACAAGTCACTGTACAGCCGGATCACAGAAACCGGAGTCCAGGAGTGGAATCCCACACTATTACTTCACTGTACAGCGCATAGCGAAATACGATTTATAGAGTCGCTACAAGGAGGGAGTAATGGGTCACGGGACAAGTGTATGGGAGGTAGAGAAGGCAACCACTGGCATGTGGGGTGACTCCCTGGTGCGACATCGAATCGATCGCGGGCATGTAGTGTCATCCTTAGGTCAAATTGCACAACAGGAAGCGAGCAAATGTGACAGCGAGTGTTGCAGTAAAACCATGGGTAGCATCGAATAGGAGAACACAGCGGAAGTTGACAAGTAAGTGGTAGGCTGCAGTTTAGCAGATAGCTCTGGTGTCAGTTGTGGGAGTTCATAGCAGTATCCCAACATTCAACTTGCGACTTGCATGGTAATTTTACTGTCTACCCGTTTAATATTGGGCTTGTCTGCATCTGTAAATTCGAGCAGAAGTTGCTATCTCGCAAAGCTACTGCTTAATACCGGTCAAAGACCACCTCACAAATTCCTGGTGACTCCTGCTTGAAGTTGACCGCTAGGCACTGTGAGTCGTATATGATCAATGGCGTATACGCCGCTCTGCAGCGAAGCCCCGATGCGACGTACTGTTGTATTGCTGATTTTTTACTTTCTCTATGGTATGGTCTGTTATTTTGTCTACCCTTTTCTACGTATACTTGTGCTAGTATGTATTTTGTTTTATTTCAGGCTCTGTTATCTACTACCCCTACCTTTCTATCATTTTAAGCAACCTAGCTGTCCTATTGACATTTCGCTGGGTCGCCTTCCGGTGTAACCATTACGAAAGTTAGCCAATTCCGATGTGGACCAAGGTAGAGCTTCTACCACCCACGACGTTGTGGTAAGCCCCAGAAATTCTCCTGTAGTGAAATCTCTAGGCGAACATTTAGGGAAACGACACATTTCGTCCTACAAAAACGGAAAGAGAAGACATCCAGTGGCCTATTCGGCCTACTAACCGGTACCGTGGAGTCCATCTTGGATGTTTCGGTGAGTCTACCTTATTTGTAAAATTTACCCGTCAATTTTAGGTTCCAATTTACAGGATCGCGTTGAAGGATCCTGAGGGGTCGTACTTTAGTGAGCCAGTTGCAGCAAACTATGGAAACATTATTCATATTTTTAGTGGTTGCAAGTTCAAATAGCGAAAGAGAGATTACCAAATGTTGGAACTATATTCAAACAAAATTATGCCCACAGTTGTCCGAACTATCCGAAGAGGATATTTTTCCATTTCTTTACCAAAAATTCGAGTGCCGTGCAGCGCGCTACGTAGCACTGTACGACAGTGAGCGTCAAATGTTTCAATGTCACACTTTTTTCAAGACAACACCTTGCCTTTGAAACGTGCAACTGTTAAGTTGCTTCGAACTTTTGGCTTTCCCCCGAAGGAGAAACTCGTTTACTGTACGCGTTCTGGTTTTCCCTTTTTTAATTTCTTCAGATTACTCTTGCTCATACTTTAGAGGCAGGATTCCACAGCAGGGATGGTTATATCTCACGTTAAACCACCTTTGCTTCTATTCCTTTTTGCTGGGGATCGAGACAAAATTGTGTGTCCCATGGATACATGTTACCGTGAGTTAGTGTATCGCCCTGATGTCTATCAACATTTCTATAGGCTGTCGAACGAATCCCTAGTCGACTTCCCGGTGGGTTCATCTACGTAGCGACTGCGGAAAAACAGGTAAGTCTTGTACTGGAATTGTGGATGTTATCTGTGATCTCCCCCACTCGGTCTACTGCTACTTAGCCACTTCTGGTGTATTTAACCATTGGCCGCTCAGAGATTCTCCCTATCATGTTATCAGTGGATGTTGGAACGGTACCATTTGATGTGACCTTAAAAACGAGCGTTCCTCCCGCTTTCTTTTTTCAGTGTGTCATCCGCTTGGTCAGTCCTAACACAGATCCCACAATTGTAGACTTTAAACCGATTCCTCTTAACAAAATAAAACAGATGTCACAAAAACCTGTGCCACATGAATACAATACAGCTGAATACGCGCCAGCATTACGCCGGTATTTCGCACCGACGCTTCTCTGCCAGCTGACCAACAACAGCCGCGTGCGAGCTATAGACACCGTCACTCGTGTATACGTAAACTCGGGCTAGCGGCTTTTGAATAACAAGACAGACGACCAAATCACTCGGCCACCGGTCGGCCTTATTTATGACAAGTGAAAGGTAGCCGACAAAACTGTTCATAAAAGTATCCCTCCCCGACCAGTTTAATGACGATAAATATGGTGTATTAGAGTCATTGTTGTTGCATGAGTTTGCGCTCCAGGTCCACTAGACTTCCTCCTTCTGTATTACGGCCGGTTTTTCGACCTTTCGCATATCCAACCGTGACGACTGGTGTTGTTTCCAGCAGAAACTCCCTGGCTCTACAAGATATCCGAAAGCCTCATCCATTAAAATACAATTTCGTGGCCTCAGCAGTATAGCATCAGCAGTACGCAAGTACGCAGTACAGACGCTTCGCTGCAGCGCAGTCATCACCAGTCGCGCGTGGGCTAAGGATACTGGGAGGGTCGCGCGGTCTCCTAGGTAGCCTCGAACTCGCGACCTCAGATGTTTGTGATCCTTAAGACCCCGAGCCAGCAATTTCTTCGTGCAGATTCTGTGATGGCACATTGCACTGGGCATCCTGGTAGACTTGTTTAATTTTGTTCTGGGGCAGCTCAGTCAACAATCGAGAAGGCCGTTTATTGCGCTTTCCGCTGAAGTTGATGGACAATCGACGTGTTGAAATCCGACTCTGGTGTTCCAAAACGAGTGGGTAGTTGACTACTTATAGCTTATAGCTTATCCATGTCGATCCACTAAAGGAAGCCAAATGGCAAAGCGGTGTCCACTGTTTAAACAAAGTGCCGCTGCAAAACAACCACAGCTGCAACGAACGTTCGCTATTGTCCTTGTTCTCAGAATTAAACTCAAGCACGCAATATAGTTAAGCTTCTGAGGAGCTGAGACTTTCTACTTTCGTATTCCATGCAACCAAAACCATCTGATAGCGGTGCCTAATTGCATGTCAGGTTTGCGGTAGCATTTCCCGTCGGCAATAACAGGAGTACAGTCTGTTGGAGCGTAGGCAACAAACACAAACAGTCAACACCTAGCATTGCTTCACTCATTGCTCTTAGTGGATGTTACCTAACATGTGGTACACGCGTGACTGTTCAAGTGGGGCCCAATACACGGGCACGGATTTTACTATATCACCCAAGGCCGTGCCCATTACAACTTGGACTGGGGTTGCCGCATCTGTATCTCCAGGAGTGTGCATGCATTAACCAGCTGATACATTTGGCTCAATCAGCTCCATTACCATATGATTCGTAGATTCTGATTTCAGCAAAGCATCATATGTTAACACCGAGGGTGCTCATTGTGCATGAAAGTGAAGTTTACGAGCCCGTCTCTCTGAGGACAGGAACTTTTCTCAGCGCCAAGGAAGTGGGACAGGTTGATTTCGAGAAGTATTTTTCATAACGAGAAGCTATTAGACAATGTTAAACCATGCTTTCGGATGACAATATTTCAGTAGTATTGCAGTCGTTATCATTAGCATTGGAACGTATCTAAGAAGAGCAAACAATGGGGACCGGAAGGCACGTAAGAGAAACAAGCGGAGTCGAAAGTAAGGTTTCGTCAGCGATGACCTTTTTTGTTTGTCCTCCCTGCTGAACGCGACAGCTAAAGCGACTCTTTATGAATTGCATCATGACTGATTGAAAATGTAGCGGACGTTTGAGAAGAATGTTATGGTTGAACGAGAGTTGAAACACTGCAAGGGCACTGAAACCCAGGCTAGAGAACAACTACTGTCCTCGACTAAAGTCTTTGGCGGAAAAGTATGGCGGCAGGTAAGCTGGAATGCGATAGTAAACCACGACAGAGTTAGTTTAACGGAAATACTGGCCACTCTTTTTTCGGCCCTCGGCTAGGAGTATCAGGAGGCTGTAAGCATAGACCAAGCCGGTAGGAGTATTTCTCGGTGCTGAATAATGATACCTGGTGTAGCTCAGCGTTCATGAAAGGCGTTCAAACAATCACATAAAGCCCATAACTGATATCCTTGAAGTAGATGTTTCAAGCCTTTAGTTTTACGGACAATTTGAAGTGGCCAAGTAGGGGGCGATTCGAAATACACCCCATTTTGAGTCGCAGTTAACTAGGTGTTTTCCCCCAAATCGGTTGTGTCGTCATTCTCGCCCGCTATTCCATCGCGCTGTTTGTTTCTATTCTTCAAGCTGTATTTCCCTAGATTTGATACTTGCTTTGTGGTTTTGGATTTGAGATCTTATGTGAGAGACCCACGTTGATTACTCATAGTTGACAGCATTTTTCATTGGCAAGCTGTGTGAACTCAACAAACGTTCATCTAACAGACGAACAATAAATCAGGCGGTGTCAGTTTGTACGGTCGCAACTTGTAGAACTACAGATGGCGACGTAGACTGACTCTGCTCAGTGTAAACAACACCCAACGGTGTTATCGGGGCAAGTGATGACAATCATTGGGTCGTTATGATTGAACAGAAAGATCTCCTGGAGACAAGAATTACAAGGTCATTCAGGATGCGGTGGATTGACGTAATTTCTTGTTTGTGGTAGATTACTGCTCCTTTTACAAATGTGCTTTTCACTCACCTCCCATTATTTATGGCATTCTGGAACTGGATCTCAACGCGTGTTGATTTACCCGCCTCTTGGACTCATTGCATTGCGTTGTATGCCTGTCCCTAACCTTCTATAGAGACGTCAATTCTATATGGACCCTTATCTCTGCAATAACAAATTTTCTCTGTTTCTATAACAGAAATGCCAATGCCCATGCCTCATAGAATACACTCCACTGATCGTAGTCATCATCATCATCATCAACAGCAGTACACCAGCCATTTGAACTGATGCTTCGCTGCCATACAACCATGAGGACCTATGAAATAAAGAATAAGAAGAGGGAGAGAAGGGGGACTTACCTGAAAACCTTAATGCCCTAAGCAAACATTCAGGGTCAAGGCGCCTACACCTTGTGTTAACAACATACCGTCACAAACAGCTGGCTATCGTGCAAAGATAAGGCGGCATCGTAGTCCGATGTTACTAAGCACGTCAGGTTACATGGTTATAAGCTATGATTATTTTCAGTAATGTCAAGACTACCTCTACGAATTATATATAAATGCACTGGATCACCACATAAACAGTACGTATCCATGTGACAAATACGCTTAAAACATCACTGCAATACTCACCGCTAACTACTGATTGCATCTTAGCACTTTGAAATCATGACTTTCCCGAGATCGTCGCTTGTCTGCTCCAGCGCCCTTACGCTGCAGAAACCCGCAAGTCACCCGTCATAGAAGGCGTGTACTTGGCACTGTAGCGCTGCTTCATGACGGAAATGTTTTGTTGAAAGCGCTTACCATGCTCATCGCGAAAAGATCCCAAGTTTTCTGGGAAAAAGTCAAGGTGATTATGCAAAAAGTGCATCTTGAGTGACATTCGAGCACCAACAGCCCGATAGTCCGCAATGAGCCTTTTTGTGATGTCTTTGTAGTTCTCTCCCTTTGCTCTGCTCAAAAATCATGTGCACACTGCCTTGAATGATCGCCACGCTTCTAACTCAAATGATGTCAACTGACATTCGAAAGCACTATCTACCATTATCCGGCGAATATCAGGCCCAATAAGCATGTCTACTGAGCTTCGCATCACTGATCTTCGGAAACACTTGTTTCAGATACTGCAACGCAAAACCGTCTTGCTTGCTCGCTTTGACGAACTTTTTAATCAAACCATGCTTGATGTGCAGGGTGGTAGATAAATATGACCAGGTTGCACAAGAGGTGTATGCTTTACACTTATTTCCCCTGCAGCATACTCCGTCCTCTCTGGCCACTTATCGGTTGTGTAGTGCTGTTGAGTTGCCCTACCACGCCATAAGCACAAGCAACAGCAATATTTCGTGAAGCCTTCTCGCATATCCATTAGGATTCCAATGGCTTTGAAGTCAGCACAGATGTTCCAGCAGTACTTATCGTATCTCTTGCAAACTTTCGTAACTCTCCTTCATATTGGTGGCATACAACAGAGGTACAGTTGGATACACATTTCCATTGTGGAGCGGTATGGCCTTAAGAATACCCTCGGAAGAGTCAATGAACAAACGCCATTCATCACTGATATACCTCACGCCAATCTCCTTCATCAGTTCTTCCAGGTCGGAACAGTAACAAAAGGTTTCTCTCGTGTCATAGAAACCGGACAGTTTAACACTTCGCTTTCGGTATACAGTAACTTTTGTGGTTGCAGCAAGTAAGTGCCATTGCTGCAGCCGAGATGTCAGCAACTCGGCCTTGTCTTTAAGCAAGCCCATTTCATCTACCAAGTCATTCAGCTCTGATTGTTCACTAGGATGTGATTTGACACCATCAAATTCAAACTTTTCACAATTGTCAGAATCAGGGGAACTTGACGATGCGGAATCACTGCTCATCATTGATATGTTTACTGAACGCACTGGAATGGGTAAGGTGCAATCATGAGGAAGCTCGAGGTAATGAACTTTGTCCTCGTTTCGGTTGAAGATTCCAATGACACTGGTTAGACAGAAGTAGCAGTCTGTCGTGTGATACTTCGGCTCTTTTCACACCATGAGGATCGCAAAGGGCATCTTATCTTTGCTCTTGAGCCACTGAGTCAGTTAAAGGTGACACGAACAATATGCGGCACCCACTTCGTATCCTTATCTCCCAGTTTCATTCCCAAATATGCGTAGTAGACAGATTTCAGTAGTGAATAAATTAGTCTGCACTGTGCCTTTGTAGTAAACTGTCCACAGACGTAACAAAAACGATTTCGGTCATTGACACAGCAGCGTCTTTCAGCCATGATCAAGAGCTAAATTAAAGAAACACAGCTGTCAATCCACTTTTCATATCAGCTGGATACCATGGTCAAGAAGACTACTTTTCAACGATTACAGGGATCCAATGGACCAACTACAAGCGGGCATTCGATGCATGGAATGCACTGCTTAGCTGAAGAACAAAATCGTAATTAAACGGGAACCCGACGTGATAGAAACACTTTGTTTGCGTATTCGTAGTCAGGTCATTTGGTACAACTAGAAACACTCATTTCTATTATAAATGTGATGTTTCACAGTGGATTTAGTTTGTATTGACTCACTCCATACATTTCTCACCGTGTTGGGGAGTTCACCAGAAGATTGGGTTCGCTTGATCCATTCTAGTCGATCAGGCTAGCACATGCGATTCTGTCGAACAGAAGAGGCGCCATTTATTGTAACCTTGAGACTCGCTAGTCCACAAACCACCAGTGCTTATAGGCCACAACCGTTCTATACTAAATTATTTGTGTCATACATAACTTTGATTTTTTCAGTACCATTTCGGCCTATTCCTTCGTCCTGATGAGACATTTGAAATCATCCTGCAGTTGGCCAATTTCGGCGTCCGGCAGTGAGTTTACCTTGTGGTCAATCGCATTTCTTGGTCGGATGTTGCCTACTAGTTTTTAGCCACTCCTCCGTGACGATGCATCGCCTCGCTACACCAGCTGCTTCTACTTTGAAACAAAGCCTGTGCATTTATTCGCGGCATGTTTTTTTTGCTTGTGTTGTTGGTATTAGGCTTCCACATTTTCAGTCGCTCCTTCATCGGTATACTGATCACATCCAATTCATCTTGCTTGAAGCGTCCACATTCCGTCTGACTTCTGATTCCGGGGATATGTGCTTTAAACATGAGGCTTAGTGAGTAGTAGGATTCATCGCAGTTACATTCAGGCAGACAGCCACGACACCTCCATGAAAGCACTAGACGGTCGTGTCGTTCTAATGGGACTCGTCAGTAGCGCACCAACCAGATCCTGGCGGATTCAAACCCACAACTTTACTCCTACTAGCTAGAGACTTATGCTGCCGAGCCATGGGTGGCGGCAAACAGACCGACATGATTGACGTCTAACTGCGATCTATCGTGGCTCATTCACCACTGTCGTACGTGTTATGAAAGTCCCAATAGGACGAAACGTCCATCTAGCGCTTTCCTGGATGTGTGGTATCTGTCTGCCTGAGACTAGCTGTGACGAATTCTCTCCAAACATGTAGCTTCTTCGCGCTTGGTCTGTCTCAAACAGTCGCTGAGGCCGTCTATGTACTCGCACTGCGTAACATCAAGCGTGCAAGCAGCGAACACCACAAGGCTAGCTGCTTTTGTTCCTACTCATTTGGTACGTTTGCATTCAAACTGCCGAGCTCGGCGAACACTCAGACCACCAACTGAACAACATGAGTTACCAACATTTACTTCTATATCACAGTATTTCACACTATTATTACGGCCGGCCCGTAGCCTTAGTGATCACAAGCCTACCTTATTATCTGAGGTCGCAAGTTCGAGGCTACGTAGGGGATCGGGCGACCCTCGCATTCTCCTTAGCCCACGTGCGACTAGTGATGGTTGCGAGGCAGCGAAGCGTCTGTACTGGGTACTGTCGTACTATTGCTAATGCATTGCGCCTGATGTCGTGGAGGGCTGTATATCATTTGCGGCTCAACGCCGTTATTTGATTTCACATCTTTTACTTGATGTTTTATCTGCGGCGGTTTCAGTATTTCATCAAACCAATCTATCAGCGTAGGGGTGGGCGTCCTCGCGGTATACTCAGCCCGCGCGCGACTGGTGGTGGTCGCGCGGCAGCGAAGCGCCGTTACGGCGTATAAGCTGACACATTTCATTTTTTCATTTGTGTTGGGTGTCGCTTGTTTCTTTGGTCTACGTTTATCGAGAAGTCTTGTAATCTTACTAGTCATAGCTTTTCACGACATTTGTCAAAGCGTGCATCTCATGCGAACACGAATGTGTTACGAACTGGCCGCTTCTTCTGCACTGCTGGATTCTACGTTTGCTTTTTTCCTGTCTTGCTCTTCGCCTCTATCACTGCGCTAAGGTTGTTAGTTAATTCCTCACTTCAAAATCTGTGGTAGCTCCTTTGTGTGTATAGGTCAGTTCAGATGTTATGCATCCATACATTTATTAACCCAATTAACTCGTTAAGTGTTGTGTTCGCGCTCGCGTGAAGTTGCCTATGTTGGCATATACCATTCAGAAAGTGAGTTACACTGCTGACTGATTATTACCAAACTACGACCCGGAATCAAATGTTTACTTCATTGCGCAAGTGGATGGACAGCCGCGTTCTTGAATTCCAACGGTGTACTGTAAGAAGCGTTTCCTTGTCGATCACGATTCGGGTCACCGTGCAAACAATGTATGGCTTGTTTAACGCAATTATCACATGCGTTAGCTGGTTTAGCTTATTTCACAAAATGCTTAGTTCATTTCAGTTAAGCAGCTATGATTCGGGCACCACAATACGGTGGATCCAGTTGCCACGCGTCTCTTCGCTAGGATAACAATAAATAACAACAGTGCAAAAATGCGGTTGTATACAAATAGAATGTTCGACATGCTTCTCTGTTTAATTCGATTTTGGACACTGAATAGGTGTTCTCAGATTGGTAACTGTCAGTTGTCCTGTCCATCTTCAAGAAAGGACAGCGTACTTTGTGCGAAAATCATCGAAGCATTATCATTTTTCCGTTGCTTCCAAACTTCTCACGGACATCATTCTTCGACGACTTACTGATCCTCTTGAGAGCCGAATCACTGAAAATCTGACTGTCTCCCGCCCTGTTCACTAACTTTTAGAACAGAGGCGCGCATACAAACGGCAGGCAGGGTACGGTGGTTTTCCGTGGCTTAAATTTCGCTTCCAACTCTGTTGACCGCGTTAGCTTGCGGCACTGCCTATCCATGAAGAGCGTGCCGGCCGTATTCCTTTCCATTATGCAATCTCTCTATCGTGACTCCCGAGGCCGTGTAAGGGTCTATGGAAAGCTGTTTCCTGAATTCCGCACGACAGGTAGGTTTCACCAGGGTTGTCCTATACTTCATTTCCCCTTCAACTTTGTGATCAAACTAACCATGAATGACTCGGTTCTTTCCGATTCTACCGGAATGAAATTTCTACCAGATGACCGACTAACCGATATAGCTCTCCTAGGGCCTGACGCAGTGGCTATGCGAACCATACTGCATAGACTGGTGCATGGTGCTGCGCTATTCGGCATGTGCTTTGCACCTTAAAATGTAAACTATTGCTTCAGTACTGGGCCAACACAGCTTAGGTTTTAGCTATTTCCGAACAGCCACCAGAAGTGGTGGATCGGCTCACTTACCTTGGTAGTTGTATCACCTCTGTTGGTCACATCAATATAGTGGTTACTTCGCGTATCAGCAAGGCCCGTCTGTCTTTCCAGAGGATCAGCTCTATATGGAGACGGCGGAATATCAGCCTGTTAGTGAAAGGTAAGGTGTATAACGCTGCGATAAAACCAGTGTTGCTGTATAGATCAAAGACCTGGCTAGTTTGCAATGAAGACATTAAACGCTTGGTCGTATGTGACCGTTGGTGCTTGCCGAGTATTGCTCACCTCTGATGGGAACAGCGGGTGAGCAACGCTGAGGTGCGCTAGTTGCTTTTTAGCAGGATACCTTCTGGTGTCTCACTCTAGTGTTTACTGAATCATAGTCGCTTATGCTGGTTGGTCGGTTTTCCGTATGCCGGTTGAGCGGTTTCCCCGGCCTGCGATATACGCCGTGGCGTTACCAACTTTGGCGAAACTATGCGGTAGCCAGTCCATGACGTGGCCTAGAGGCATGAAGAAACTGACAGAGAGACTTGGTCAGGCTGATGCGTATCGTCTTCCTGGATAAAGGTCCCGGAGTCTTTTTTGGAGATTTTCCTTTTTTCAGGAGCCTGGGAAAGCCACGATAAGTCAACATGTATCTTTCGTATAAAGACGCGATAGGTTCGAACCGAGTCGCCGCGATGTTGTTGGTTATGCAGCGCATACATTCCGAGCTTAAGCAGTCTTTCTCGCTACGATTGGCGCCATAGCCCTTGGCACCAACTCAGTCATCTGTAGCAGTACACCGTACTGATGCTTCGCTGCCACGTGACCACCACCGATGCGCGTGGGCTAGGCATACTTCGAGGATCGCCTGGTCCCACAAGCAAGTTTAAACCGGGGATCTCCGGATTACAAAGTAGGCGTGTTATTCTTTCGGTCACCGGTCTAATTTTTTACAGGCCGTTCGCCCGATTTTGGCTGGAATCCGCAACCTTAGGCCTGCGTTCACTTGTATCGTCCTCACAACCGCTTCGGCCGTGTCAATGAGAGGTTGCAGCTGTGCACCTGTTCTCTTCTTTGGTTTTCCATTGCCTTTGAGACAAATGCAAAGCTTGTCAGTTGTGTTGATCTGATCGATGCTCTACCGAATAATCAAGGGAACAAAGCTTGTACCAATTAATTCGTTTTATTTTGTGGTAATCTGAGTGATGTTTTACCAATCCCCGATTTTGGAGTTGTTAGCCGAAGTCGGTTTTTATATACCATTTCACTATATGCTTTAGTGAGTAACGGGTTTCACCTCACCAACATGGTCAATTCGGTCCATTTCTTTCAGGCTCCTCACTGATGACTGTTATAGCAATCGGGTGCTTTTTCCGATAGTCGCTAAGAAGTAAGACACCTCTCTTCTTGCCATGTCTTGTCTAATTTATTTGTAAACTCTGCATTTGAAATATGACCTATTCCTCGGATCTTTTCTGTGTTCCGTAATTCTTTGTCTCTGGTCATTAGTACCGGCATATCTAGGTGTTGACTTTTTCAACCCTATTACCTTGAACGGATTGAGTTCGGATCTCCATCTGCGCGCCAACTGAAATGTTTCACAAAGTGCACGCATGGGTGTACGCGGCAAGTACTGATTGCTTATTCACGAATAAGGCACATTGCCCGAATTTCGAATCTCTTGTCAAATGCCTCTGATCGACCTTTTTGTTCAACGACTTCCTGCGTGCACTTTAATCTTCTTTTAGCCTTGTTTCCAGCTGATCATTTGCGAACAAGAATACAGCCTTTATTTGGCTTAATTTTTTTTACCTTGCAAACCGCGCGTATTACACACTATCGGTCTGTTAGATATATTCTAAGACTTGGATGCGCTGTTGCTCAGTTCTTCATCCTAGGTTCGAGAGGCGTTTCAGCCCACCTAGACATCATTCCTTGTAGCGCATGCACTCTGTGGACCGCATCATCGTGAAAGGAAAGTAGTTAGGTCGACAAAGAGAAATTAAATGATACGGATCGGGGAACCATTTTCAGTTATTTTGCGAACTCCGTAACTTAGCAGCACCTCATTTACATGTGTGGTCTTTAGTCGTTTCACTTTCTCATGGGAGCACAGCATTAATAACGCCAGATAATCTGTCCGGAATGGGTGGTAGCTTCTTCCGCAGCCACCCGTTCTTTCGCGGTGTTTACCTCCATTTGTCACGGTATCTTTTACATGCTTGCTCAACAACACTTCATACAAAAACGTCACTTGTTGCTCAGACTTTTTGCATACTCTTCTGGTTGTAGGCACCTATTGACGAGTCACTTCTCATAAGCCCATATGGCGAACCACGAAACACTGAACTGTAGAGCAGCTGCTTCCTCCGAGTACTTTCCAATGTGTCTACATTAGTTTGTGCTGTTCGGCATTCCTGATACTTTCTTGCGTCTCACCATACCTGCCGCTTCAGTTTCCATTATTACTACCTCTATTCTTTCCTTACCAACTCAGACTACTGCCACGCACTTTGTCTCGGCTCAAAGTGGATTTAGACGCTCAGATAAGGAGTGATGCTTATCGAAATGTCTTCCATCTACCTGTAGACGAAGATCTGGAGATTGTCGTTTCTTGTGAGCTATACACTTCCTTCGACAAAAACTCGGTGCCCGGCAAACTGTTCCTCTCAACCCACTTTATTTGTTTCCTATCCTCGGTGAGTGAACAGCTTTTGTGTCGCTGCGTATTTCCCCCTTACTGCTCATGCTTAGTTTCTCGCGTTTCCTCTCGACGATTTCCGGAGCGGATGTATAAGGTTAACTACTTTTTTTAAAGGATTATGCGGATTTTAAGATCCCAAACATCGTCTCCGAGTCAGGTGGCTCCGGGGTCACCTATTCTGCTAATCTGATTCCCCCACACAGTTGGTCTCGGATCTTTATGGTTTCCATTAGATGAGGGAAAATCGCGTGAAGTACTACGACAGCAGAGCCCAGTTTGCTTGGTCTGAGATGGAGCACTTGCTACCTATGTAGACTTCATCTTGCTTGATATGTACAATTTTGTAATCAGTGGGCCAGTTGGTTGGTACACATCATATTACCAGCACTCGCCATTATATTCCTGAATGTTGGCGCAGCCGAGAGCAGTTAGACAATTTGAGCGGTTTATCCAATCCGGATAGGAGTATGCGTCGTCATGTGATGATACGGGGTGGATATGAAGACGACTGCTTTCCTGCTATCCACTCAACAGTCTCAATCAATACATTAGGCTGTCTGTTCTCTGGTTAATTACAACGCTATTTTTTGTTACCGCAGTAACCTGCTGGCCTACTTGGTGATATTTATGTAAGCTGTATGGTTATTAAGCCACGTCTTAGTGGAGTGAGGAAGTTATCTCACAGTTCACTTCTTCTCATTGAATTTTTTCTGAACTGATATCCTTTTGATGGATATTACCTCATTGAACCCTGTCGCTTCATCTGGATGTTTTGTGCAGTTTCCACCTTTACTTTTCGTCTTACCTTTTCAGACACATCACCCTTTGTTTTCTACTTCACACGCCAGTGGCATCTGGGCAGTCCGTAGTAGGGCCGGGCCTTTAGGACACCAATCACCTTTTACCTTACCTGCAGCGGTTTTGTCAGTGCTCACCAAGCATTTCTGACATTTTATTCGGTCAAACTAGTTGCAAAACCACTAATACTGTCCCCCATCGATTTATCGAAAATGGACTTTGAGATACTGCGCGTACTGCGCGAACTTATTAGTAGGTGTTTTACAACTTGAGGAATCTTCGTCCGGATCGACCAACTGGGCTTCGACGCGGTGACCTCAACAGGATGCAGATTCGGGGTCGTTTATAACTAGTGATACTTGTGCTCCTAATACCATTTTGTAAGTTGTACACTAATACTCTTTAGGGGCTGTAGGGTGCTGAAAATGCACCCCCTCGGGTTCATAAGGTTTCTGCTGACTTGACGGACGTGAGCCCTAATGTTTGCCATTTTGAACAATGACACACTGCCCGCTGTTGTTTCAGGATGAACAACACACCAAGGTGATCATTCCGTTGCGCGAGGTACTGCTGGTGGAGTTAACGACCGATGAGAACGCCACTGTACACAACGGAGTTGTGATAACAACGAAAGAAGTGCGTCAATCTACTACCCCGTCTCGTGTTTTCCATCCAATATGTAACATCATGTTGACCGTTTCACACTGGTTGCTCGCTTAGTTCCCCCTTCTCATGGATGGTACTACTGTGTTTTGCTGAACATTGCGACTACCCCTGTGATCTCCCAACTCATCGAATTTCTTTGCAGACTGTCTTCGTTTTGGCAAACGTTCAGAAACGGGAACAAATACTGGAAATTGTTAATCGTTTCATGAACTTTCCATGCAAGTCTTCCATCACCAGGTACTTCATTATCGCCGCGCATGTAGTTGCTAGTGAGCTTTGATCCCTTCGACCCTGTTTTCTTTTCAAATGTTCAGCAAGATTTATTAGTGTTGTCAGGCGAGATATCTACTTAACCGTCCTGTGCTTTGACTGTCTGATACAACGACTGCATTCCAGTCTACAAAAGCGTCATGAACCCCTCTGATTTGATGGACTCGGCTCGACAAATCTATCCTCGTGTGTTTGTCGTGGCTGATGAATTACTGCGCTCAGTAGCCTTTCTCATACAATATCATTTGAACGGGGGAACCGTTCCAACTTTGTGTGTAAATCCGTCATTTATGCCTCGGCACGACTCAAGCCTTATGCTTGATTGGATTGTCATTTTGCCTAAACACGATTCTATTCATGCTCTGCAGGACAGCCTGCTCCTGTATGGCTGTGATAGCCAGTATTACTCCTAAGCCAAGTCTCGCGTTGTTTGGCCGCATCATTCACAGTCTTTACCCTTCGTTGAATTGATTCGGTAAGTCGATTAGCGACTCAACTTTCTCAGTGGTTCCTGGCCAATATACTCCAACTCGATAGATTCGACTGGAGCAAATATAAATGAGTCAATCAGTTGAATTGTCTACTCAAAAAAACCATATTGTTGATCCAACTAAGCTCAAGCTCGAGGAAGTGATATGTTGGTTAACTTGTAATCAGAGTGCAGGAATGGCCTAGACACCATTCCTTTGTGCACATGGATACAGGTTTTAGAATCGAGTAACACTTGTATCTACCGTTCCCAGTAGTTAGCAACCAGTCGCTCGTTTGGGGCGCCTAGATATCTGGTGTACATGCCGAAAAGCTTCATGTACATTAACTTGATGATCCAAATCTACCAAGTGCCACATAGCTGTACTTGTCGCCGTCTTCATCGTCACCCTGTGGAATCGGGCGCATTCAGCTAGTCCTCTGACACTTCCCACACACAATGCAACTTCTGGTTCCGCCGAATGGTCACTGTTGATTTTGTAATTTCTGTGGAACCGAAACTGAATTCTGGCTCCGATTTCACTTCCTTTGTGAAATCTTCGCTGTCTGGTGTCCGTTTCTCGTCATGCAACATTTTCATAACTTGAACTCTACAGATTGCCCCTTAGTTATTAACCGCCGCACGTCTTGGTGCGTACGTTTTCGTATCTTATCGCATCTCTCTGAGCATTTTGAGTGATACACTTATCATGAAATCTGCAGTCCTTTTTGCTTGTTTACTCTCGGGTCGTCATCATCCCATCGTTATACACCTCAGTCATCGTGATGCCACCTGATGATCCCTTTATTCAGGCATTCTAGAAATTTTTAGCCAGATTTTCGTCTGCTTTTGTCATGTCTGATTCTTTCCACTATGGACACTTTTTGTACTGATGGCAGAGTGTATACACCGATTGAAGTCGCATCCTCGTACCACTGCATTGATACTCGCCCATTGTCCATTTGAAATTATTTTTTGCCACCCCTAGATCACCTTGTGCGGATTCGGTGACATTGCTGTCTCCTACATCCTCAGCTGCTCCCGCCTCAAGAAAATCATTGACTTCAGGAGGAAATTCCGGGGATGCTGCCCAGCTACCGTCACCGCTGTTTGTTACAGTCCCTACACCTCTTTCAAATCCTAATGAACCGCTCGATCAAAAGTGTACGCTTACTGCTACTATCCATTTCCTAACACTAATCACGTCCCTCTCTATTTCTAAAGTATTCTGCTGCTTGCCTACTGTTACTGTGTAAATTATATGGTGCTCCTTAAGCTTCTCTCCATTTCCTGACTCCTCTCCTGGCACAATTCGCGCGGTGACTATGGACCTGATGTAGGCTTGATGGGCGCCATTATCTTTCTGACGCTTTATGCCATCTGATTGTCAAATAATTCGTGTTGGTTGGATTTTGGGCGTCAGTTGTTCTTCATCCACATCTGTCCTCATGCATCTTTATTTGAGTCCGATATCTTACGCGAACGAATGGCGTCTGAACGCGGCCACGGTGTTCACTGTATGCCTCATTTTGGGGCACACGTTGTGTGGATAGACACGCAGTCTCAATGTGGGCCGCAGTTGACTTTGAAGTGGGCATTGATCAGTTCGATCACTAAAACCGTATCTGAAGCAGATAAATAGTAAGCCTTGCCTGTCCGCAGTTCGCGAGCAGTTTCGTACGCCATTGCACTCTTTGGGTAGGGAGATGGCAGGACTGCACTCACATCCGTGACCTGTGGGAGGTTGGCTGAAGCTTCTACCTCTATCGGTGCATACGGACGATGTGTGGCCGTTAAAACTTGATCCGGAATCTAACTAAAGTGACGCACGCAACGCGTTTCACACATGCACCTCTTGACCGATGAGTTATTAAATTTGCCGAACAACCATATTAACTAGCCCATTTGTTCACTTAACGAGTGGCCACATCGCCTCCTTTTCCAAATCCTCTCGGGGTTTACTGTTCACCTAAGTAAGGACAACGTGACCTAGGGGGACGGCAGGATCTAGTTCATTTGCCAAGGTTGGTATGTTCAACGCCACTGTAAGTATCAACCGGGCTGTCACAGCACACGGAAGAGGTTGCCTGACCACTCTAGTCTTCGGGCCATCACGCATATCCGATCCAATTACCGAAAAGGCAGTGCTGTTTGGAACTACCTCACGCTTTTTGCACACCTGCCGTTACTTCTTCTTCGTCTGTATTGTAATTTGAGATAATTGAAGCCGTACAGTGGCCAATCGATGATATGATGAAGAGACTTGACACAGTCATTTGAATTAGTTAGTTGGCTCAGTCTGTACGACCAACCTGGATGGGGCCTCGAGATCTCAGGCATATCGGTAGCCATAGACATTTTGTGATATGGCACCTTTGTGAAGTCGTGGATTCTCATGCGCCCTTTATTTTTCTTCTGGCTTTAAACTACTCCACTTGTGATTCTGCCATCTTCATTGCCCCTTTCTGTTGAATTTTCTCTGATTGCCTTCTTTCCTTAAAGCTTTTGTCTGGTAACCAGTGAGGTTCGGTTTGTAGTGCGTTCGGTCTATTACGTTTGATTCACTATCCTTCCACCCAGTTTTTATGCCATTTTCTCCTCTAAATTGATGTTTATTTCTTGACCTCCCTTCTTACTGTTTCCTTGTTACTATGGCGACGCGGGTCATGTTGATCAAGTCAAGTGAAGTCGTGAAAGTGCTTTATGCACTCAGGGAGAGTGAATATTCGACCGTAACACACGGGTTTTCAGCGATACGATTCAAAAGGTGGATTAATAAATGGAAAACACAATACCGTCATAGCTTAAATTGGTTGGTTAATTCTCGGACGACTTTGATAGGGTTGAGCAAAATCGCCCTACATAATGAGTGACTAACGAATCATAACCTCGTGTTCGGGCATATTTGGGCCTGTAGTTCTGTCTAGTTGACGAGGTCCACACATTCCGATAATACACAATGAAGCATAGTGACTTGTGTCGGCAAGTAATGTTGGCGCTAACTTCTTGCAGGAACTCACATGAGTGGGCACGAGTATAGCAACAAGAATCAGCTTTGACACACCGCTACCTCAATACAAATGTCTTGACGACCTGACAATTATTCTGAATTGTTCACTGAGTAGACCAGGTAAAATCACTGGAGAGCAGTACGTCCAGTGTGGAAGAACACAGGTAGCGCCAAAACGAAGTATCAAGTCATGAGGGACGGTGAAAGCGTAGAATGATAATTTCCTGACTTTTGTGAATGTTTCGTTCATATAATGGGACTAAAATAAATCGTAGTTAAGCATGACATCCAGGTACTTCACTGATATGGAGGAGTGCAACGCCTCGCCATCGATGTGGATTACCGGGCACTACTTGTGAAGCTGTTGATACAGCGGTCTCTTCTATACAGCAGCATAACGATATTACATTGCATTTCGACACATTAAGCGACAACTGGCGGGCTTTCGACTAAGACGTGAGAACATTCAGAGTACTTTTTAATCTGACTGAAGTGGTAACGGTCGATTGATTAACGTCTAGGACAATATCATCTACCTTCTTGTACAGAGTCGCCTCCGCAGACACTGCTAATGTGCTGACATAATTCAAAAATAGAAATAGTGACAGGTTCACTTCATTGTGAATCGCGGTCTGCATTGAGGTTGCGCGTCGCATTCCAATCACGCAACGTGTACTTCAAAAAGGTCCTCCAATGGTGACAGAATAATTCACCCAAGAACACCGGTGCTTGTGATTAAGGGCGAGTTAGCTTTTTCCTCCAAGTCGGCGGCAAAATAATCCCTCAACAAAGTAACCACGTTTCGCACTCGGAGCGTAGTATTTCAGCTGAACTGAGCCTCATAGTCATGGGACAATTCCATATCATTGAACTGATGATGTTTTTCACGCACTATGCTCCCTTGTTTTTATTTAGCATTTTTCTATATGGAGGAGTTTATCTCACATTGTCAAGGTACACTACTCATAAACCGTTTACCCGTGACTCTATCACAACTTAGTAGGGTTTCTAGAAACATTTCTATTTTCTTGCGTGCCATCCGTTTCCTCTCTCATTCCGTCAGTTTTTCTTTTCTATTTTCCGTTCACAGATGGTGCTCGTTTTGCCCTCAGATGCACTACTTTGACAGGCGAATCAGGTGTTGCAGCCTGCTTGACAGGCTCGTCGAGTTCGGTGATAGATAGAGCCGAGGCTGCTCGAATGAGGGGCTGGGCAGACTACTTCGCCGTGTACGGCTCTGGTATGACTATGTATCGGACCACATGTCTTCGTTCGCTTGTACTGAAGGGCCTTCCGGTAAAGCTGAGGGGTCGACTGTGGATGATCTTAAGTGGCGCAGAAAACGAGGTAATTTTCGATAAATTGCTTAGAACTCTCGGAAAAACCAACTTATCGCATTCTGCCATTTCTTTTCACAATCAACTTTAATTATCGCTGGCGACCGCCTGTCGACGGTGATTCCTGTAAGGTGACCTCCCAGAATTCTTTTCATCTTCCATCTGTTCATTGAAACACTGGTTCATTTACTACTCTCGAGAAATCTCCTCGTGTATGGCATACCTCTTGCACATCGCATCCTCGGTATGTAGACAAAAACTTGTGCGCTCTTTTCAAGAACTTTGGAACTTCATTTGGCCGTATTTGATTCCATCGAAATAAGTCTTCCGTAAGAATAGTTGGGCTTCCACTGGCTAACCCGTTTCATCTTAGCATCAACGCCCATGTCCATCTCGCAGTTTGTTTTGTTGACATTCGATGGGCCACGCGCTACATGCAACCTAGTGTTAACTGATTGCCACCTCTCGCTACGGGCATTCGAGATCTCACCACGAATGAATGTGAATAACATTCATAAATGAAATAAATCATTAGTTAGATCTCTCTTCTCGATAGAGCGTGACACCCAAAAAGGTATGATCAGGTGTAGCAATACATCGATCACAGTTTGATCGGAAAATACCATGTTTTCGAGATATCCAGTAAGTTTCGGCGACAAAATGCAAATGCTTGCAATGTAGGTGAATTGCAGGTGGAAAATTATTGACAGATCAAGTTTGTTAGAGTTGTACAATACTTTTGGTGCGGGAGTCAAAACAAATTTCTGTGATAGACTAATCTCGTCGTCGGGGTCATGGAACTTTGTTGAACCAAATAATGTTGTTCTCCTTTAACAAACCGAAGTCGGATCGGAAGATTGCAGGTCTATGGGCTTGTGATAAGAATTGTTGGAGTCAAGATGAATAAATAAAGATTAGCCCATTTTGCAGGTGATTCATGGATTGATATTTCTGGGATGTGATGTAATGCCGGTTGTTCGGGCCGTTTATTGAATATAAGTGATGTAAGGCATCCTTGAAGAAACCATCATCCTCAGTCAAGCGAAAAATTCATGGAACACCTTCCGATAAGGTCCAAGAGAGTGGTGTGTAAAAATGTTCTTGCAGGAAACAGGAGATTGAGGTTCCGGCCCCGGTGTTGCTGCAATGAGGTAAGTCGTAGTATCAGCGGGAGTCACAGGGGAACGTCATTTTTCCGACACAGCATATATTTGTAGTCCAACAATATCCAGGATAAGGGACCAAGTGTCTCATAAAGATAAGAGCCACGATCGTCGGGGAGAGTTCAAGCCGCAATAATCATGCCCCTCAGAAAAGAGGCAGCGAACAAGGGCAGCCAGACAAAATTCGACCGCATATGTGGAAACAGAGACCGATCCAATGATGCCGATGCTTCCTTACGTATTGTGTGAAACTATTAATTATATATGTATATGTGTGCAAGAGAAACCCCTCGTGCATACAGAGAAGAAGCGGCAAGCACCGATTGGTTGTACTTCATCGACATCGAGCGCATGGTGCTGTAGCACATGCGGTCGCGAGTGCCTGAGTCAGGCAGACCTAGTGAGCCACGAGCGAGGCTACTCGGATCAACCACCGAAGCGATGAGGGGTCCTGCAGAGAACGTAGGCAGAACCGGCGCAGTGTTTGTAGGTACGTTGCATTCGATTTACTAACCGCGTGCTTGCATGCTGAGTCTCTATTTCAGATGATGGGTTTGTTATATTGTCCTAATGCTGTTTTATATCAATGTCTACCTGAACTATCTTCTATAAACTTGCACACCGCTTAAGCTAATTGTACTTAATCTCGATAACACTTTTGCGGTTGTGGCATTTTTTTAAAATATATTTTCTGGCGTGTTGAACCTTTCGCGGAATTTTTGCAACCAATTTATTTCATACGCTCATTTAGTGATGAGTTATGTCACCGTATCTGTATGCATTATCCGATTGGTTTTATTTGATCTCGTCATTTCAAGTGATTGGCTGTTGTTTGACATCCCAGGTGTGGCTGCGTTTGATGTGTATGTTGACAAGGTGCCTACCGGTCTATTACCCACTTCCTCGTCCATACTGGTTTTAGGAGATGGTTGGTGGTTGCTGTGATCGTGTTAGGCTCGAAGAGTGGTTCCATGCACTCAGTGTGGAGTGGACTACGGTCCAGCCACCGCCTTTTGTGCGATTGATTCCCAAATAGAGCGTGCTTGTGTTTGCCTGTGAAGGAGTGTGGGCCGACTCCGTTGATGAAACGTGGTTCCCATCCACATGCCTCCCGGCCTTATTCCTTCGGGTTTACACTGGATATGGGGTGTGTGGTTGGAGCTGTGGGTTGTGCAGCACAAGCCACCCATGGTCCCTTTATGTAGGCGTAGGCGTCCTGTGACTGTCCCCATAGAGACCAGTGACGGGCAAATCCTGATACGGATGCCGCCAATCCGTATATGTATAAGTATCTACATATGTATACATGCGTATATGTATATATAATGGATTTAAGACGGCGAAATACGCTGTCGGATCACGACCGCGTGAGTAATGAAAAAGCGCTTAAGGAATAGAGAAAAGGATGGAGGGTCTGATAACATTGATGAGCAACTAGGCGAGAATTCGTCGCAGGTAGTTGAGACTACGCATTCGAATTATATCGGATAAGGGAACGGATAGACACGAGTAGACAATGAGAGGTTTGGGATTAGAAACTAGTTGCTGATGAGAGGCGAAGAATTGCACAAGCATACAGAGGTAGGCTGACGAGATTGGTGAACCCCGTTTGATACCAATCCGAAATTAGATCCAGGCTATGGCAACTAAATCAGTTAAAGCAAGAATTTAGCTAGGATAGTACAAGAAAACATTTGCCAACTAGGGTGACGAAGGGATGTCAGCCCACAGAGGAAAGTTAAAGAGACTGGTGGTTTCCCGAACCTGTTGCATTTGGTTAGCATTTGCTTGATAACATTTAGAAAACGGTACTAACAGTACACACAAAAATTCAACGAGGCGTTGAAACGAGTGGGCAACATTGCCTTATTCATTAAGCCCTCCAGCCATATGTGCGGAGGTACACTGTCCAACATAGATCAGTTGAGCAGCATAGGTAAGTGGTGCATACGAGGAAAAGAAAGCCAGAGGTACAGAGATAAGAGAAGGAATACTGCCAGACTCAGGGGACAAACAGAGGTGCAGGGATCCTATGCAGTGATTTTATGGTTAGCTAGAAGAGAAGTTATCAAAAGCAACGAGCGGCGTTGGCTCATATCCATCGTTCTCTGGAGACGTCTTCAAGTCGAAGAGGAGACACCGCGCACCAACCCTGTCGGCAACGACTAAGCTTCACACGTAAATGCTTATGTGTGACTGTACTCAAGTACATCACGTGAATTCGCATAGCAATCTTTGCGCTTTTCCTCAGAATACACAACATATTTGGTGGTTGTTGGCTGTTCTCTCTGTGAACATTTTACAAATCCGAAGCATGCGCTCCTATTATCAAAAATCCTTACATCGATCCTGTCTAAGCACTTAGCACATGGCTGTTTTTTATCCTGCATCTGGGCTTGTTTATTCCACTTTGTTCCAAATCTATACATCGGAACAATGGGTTTAATTTGGTCAGCCGGAGATCAGTCCTTACGCACCTAACTTTGAAATGAACCTAGGCGGTCTATGCTCTTTTTAATTCTCGTCACCATTGTGAATCGCATGAAGTGCTACATCTCAAATGTACCGCCGCACTTTTTTTTCCTTACGCTTCACTGTAAAAACTCCCTTGCTGTATGTAATTGTATTAGGTTTATGGTCTTCATTTGTTGATTCACTCGATCACATCGTTCACTCTAGCGGATTGCTTCCCCCGTCTGATGCTATCCAGTTGAACTATTTCAGGTTGCACGTCATCACGATCAGCTAGCTGCACTCGTATCGCAAGTACTGGGGTTTATCGGTTACCTCATTGTTAAAATCGACCTCTGTATCCAGGGTCTCGTACACCACTTTAATCGGTTACTACCACGGACATCAGTTATGCCAATCAGCCCTCGTCTCCTGTTGTCCCGTTTTGCTTTGTCTTTCTATACTTTCGTGTCTCTTGGGCGAAAGAACCTACATGTGCCCAATGTGATAGGTTTACTTACATGCCAGATTTTATTTCGCTATTTTCACATGTAACCTGTTACTTGTGAGGCGTCTGTTTCGTTTGACTGGTCACACACCATCAATCAGGACCGAATTCGCGCGTTTCACTTTCCAATTAAGCCCCAACTGGATTCTCGCCTTATTGATCAGCGACCATCGCAAAATTTTACCCACGACTAACCAACACTTAGTTTCTTTTGCTCCCCTACAGTTTGGGATTCTTGCTCGTATTATGATTGTGGATTACTATCTATTACAGCCCTGCATTGTGTTCTGACTGACGCTTCTCGTTTTCAATCTTGATTTGTCATGTTATTTATCCTTTGCCTTTTTCTCACCTGCCCTTACAAGTTATGTGTTCACCCGGGCTACTATGCAGAGCTTGTACGCCAAACTGAGGGCAGAGTGAATTTTGTTGTGGAAGAGATCGAGCGAGATCTACATCGATCATTGCCCGAGCATCCAGCCTACCACACAGCGGAAGGTATCGCCGCTTTGCGCCGCGTTCTCACTACATATGCATACCGAAATCCCAGTGTGGGTACGTCTGTCTGAATCAGGCCACCGCGACATTATTAGTGTTTCATGTACCGTAGTTTTATTGATTAGGAAACATATCGCCTTATGTATCTGCGTACCGATGCACATCGATAGTCGCTTGTGTGATAACCCCTTTGTTCGATTTCCACACACATATTCGAAATGAGTGTTACTCTGTTTGCTCGCGACTGCTTTTGATAAATCGCTGCATATGGTCTGGTGTCCTTTTTACACTCTTGATCTTTCACACTTTATTTTTCAACGTCCCACACGAACGAACGATTACCCGAATACTGGACACTGTTTCCACGTCAACGAACCTTGATTAATCGATCCGATCCAACTATGTTTTCTCCTCGTCCGCGTGCAGGGTGTATTGACATTTTGTAAAATTAACTCCGTGCGATTTATCGCTTGGTAAGGTACCGTCGTGTCACACGCCCTAGCTATATGTTTTCTGTTCCACCTAAAATAATAATAGTAATGATACGTCTATTTATCAGAAGGGTGACACGGTCCAATGGACCTGGTCCAGTCAGTTTGTACAGGTTTCCTTCAAAACTGTTATCACAAATCGGTCGTTCACCTGACCCTAAAACAAGGTCCCAGGTTTATAGGTGTCACAGGGGAGTTCTGTTTAGCATAACTCTCTCTCGCTTTAATCTTAGAATACTGTAGCGGTGAAGGAAAATTTCTCCATTTTTAAGACAATTTTCTTTTTTACCATGCGTATCTTTTTATCGTTTCCAACTGGTCTCGTCTAAGCCGTTATTCAACAAATTGTGTCTTGAAATAACTTGAACTGCCCTCTTTTGGATGTCTTGTCCTACAACTGTTCTCTGGGTTGCTCATCAATTATTCTCGCTCATCCTGATCTTCCCGTACTCAGGCTACTGTCAGTCTATGAATATCGTTGCAAGCATACTACTTCTGTACTGCTCCGAAGAGGAAGCCTTCTGGTTACTGACCGCCATCTGTGAGCGCATGTTGCCTGATTACTACGACAGTCGCGTCGTTGGAGTGCGCATCGATCAATATGTTTTGCGAGACTTACTGGCGAAAAATATTCCCGATATGCCTTCTCTTGCACCTCAGTCATTGTCCCATTCACATTCAAGCAGTGGGAATTTTCCAGAATTTTCCGATCATTTTTCGGAAGGTCGTCGTTCTCCAGGTGACGGTGGATTTGGCGGTGGAGATCTCATTGAGTCGTTAGTGCCAATCCCAACTGATCATGTGCGACCTCCATTCCGTCAAAAAGGGGACACTCGCCCATCTGACGTTGGATCAGAGCTAATCAACATGTTGTCAATATCATGGTTTCTAACTTTGTTCATAAAGTACGTCCTTCACATCTCACTTAAAGAAGACCGTTTTTTTGTTATTTCCGTTTTTATTGCATTACCCAGCATGCCATTTGACAGCTAATCTTGATGGCGGTAGTGTTTTCTCCTACTATCATTGGTGCCTTTTTCATTCGAACTAGTGGTGTACCAATTCTCGGTAGCTCAGTGGTAGAGCAGCGGACCGGGAATTCATGGACCGGGGTTTGATTCCCCGTCGAGGCATATTATTGTGTGTGAATTTTAATCGTGACTTCTACTTTCTACGAACTTTATAGTACTCACAAACACCCACAATTAATTCTAATAAGGTTTTAACCTGTTGATGTGAGTTCTGAATGGGACAACCACTAACTGCGAGGTGGGAGCTGGAGTCTCTGTCCAACACATTGGGCAATGTTGTCCGTTGTCACTTAGAGTGCACGCGAGCAACCCCGTAATTGACCCGAGACTTTGCAGGGCGGCTAACGACCAACATCCGTTGCCCGTTTACATCCTTGTTATCGTGGGGATGAGAGAATGCAACTGTACTTTGATTTCATCCATAGTGTGATTGTTCGTGATCTCCGGCGTCTTCGAATCTGATGCAATATGCCGAGCAGTGAGGGCGTGCGCCATTTCCCGCTTGGCGACAGGTTTCCTCATCCCCTCTCGCATTCATGCGCCCATATTGTCTTCGTCATGTCCCTTGTGTGCGTTTCGGCTGCGTGCGTTGATTTCGGTCACGTTGTCTGGATGGGCATTGCCGCTGGGTGATCAGCCGATGGCATGGCAAAAGATACGAAGGGATTAACTGGGATTTCACCTTTGAGCTTCAGGGTCGGCGACATCGTTGGCTGGGCGCCTTATTTGATATGTCACAATATAAGCTTTCATTTGCTTTGTATACTTTCTGACATTTTTGTTTTATTTTTTCTCTCGGCATATCTGCGTTCTTCCCCTAGTGTTTTCCTCATCTCATAGTCGAACTGGTCATCGCAGACGGGTATGCTGCATTTTTGTGCCTGTATCAATTGTTGCTTGACCAAACTGCATGTTGCCATTATCCGAAATGCATACGAGTTTCTCGGCCGTATCTAAACGCTGAGTATAAGGGCCTGACTTTGCACTGTTACACTTGTTTGCAGCAGTCTTCTCTGCATTCAATCATTTCTTCATCATCGTGTTGCGGTACTTTGCCGATGCTGGCCTTCTCTTACTGTCGTTAACTTGCAGTAACTATGTCTCTGGTCTGTGCGAAGAAGCTGAGAACCATTCGGGTTGAAATCTTGCGCTCTTCATAAATGTTTGATGCTGTTACGATGTCACACAAACTTCACCGATTGGCACAGCGTCTTCATTGAAGTAGCTACAACGTCATATTAACTGATCGATTGACTTTTGTAGTTGCCAGTCATTTTTGAGATATGTTTGCTTTCCCTATTCTCACAGCGGTTTAACACACCCCAAGTGAACCTTAACATACAATTGAAGCGTTGAAGTTTCATACGGAACGTGACCTCTTACATCCCATTTTTAGCAATATCTACCATAAATCCATTATGATATCTTTCAATGTTCACATCACTCTTCAGATAGACCATTAAACGTCGCTCTCTCCCGCTTCACACTCAGGGGAAATTGAATTCAATTTATCCCCGAAATACTTGTATGTCCGTAGCGCCGAATCCCAACCGCAAGTCCACATTCTTCGCTCAGCTACGAGTACCGAATTGATTGTTTGAGGTTTTACCGGGATTGCAGTACTGTTCTTTGTTTAAGACAATCAGGGTGGGCGAATGCCGAAGACCAACCACGTGTACTCGGATCCTTTTCAACGCGTAAAGCTAGGAGGGCTTAACTGAACGCACGGGAGCTTTTTCCACTGTTTCTCTGCACACATGTGCTGACAATCGTCCCGAGATCACCAAAGACAAGTTTTGTTGACAAATCTCTAATCACAGAAGAATAGTAGGGGGAGTTGAATGGTATAGGTAGAAATCTCTAATCCTTCTCTGAGTAGCCTCAGGTAAAGAGGGCATGCAGTTAAATCACTTATTAGAAACAGTATCACTAGGAAGCCGTTTTGGCACTGACACGTCTCACCAAAATAATTACCTGTTCCTTTGACTACTTACGGTCCATTACCCATTGTTATGTCGTGTAATATCTGATGGCCAAACATTAGCTTCTCGCTACCTTGCATTGATCGAGCTAAAATCTATCCTGGCACCAAGTGTGCTGTGCTACCATAAGTTTTTGTCTGCTCGCTCAGCTTTAGGTCATTCCCCACTGCGTGCCCTTATGGTGCCTGTTTTCGTATCCGCACCGAATCGGCCGACCTCACTGTCACCGGCAAATCACTTGATCTCTACATTCCGGAGCCTAAATACCCGTTTGAGTCAAAACCACAACTCTCGTTACTAAGTCAGATGAATGAATTTCGTACTGGGCAAAATCAACTCTTTTACACCCTAAGTAAAGGCATCCAAATTGACTTTCATACTCAAAATGAGATTTGGAATAGTGAAATGTCTGCTCAGTCGTAGATGAGAAATATCAGTCTCTTTAACCATCTGCTTTTGGGTGTCGCTGGCCCTTAGCCTTAAGGATCACAAGCCTGCCTTGTAAGCTGAGGGCGCGGGTTCGAGCCTGCTTAAGGGACCGGGCGACTCCTCACAGTATCCTTAGCCCATGTGCGACTGGTGGTGGTTGCGTGGTAGCGAAGCGTCGGTACTGCGTACCGGCGTACTGCTGATGCCCTTGCCTTTGGGGTATCCATGACTCTGAAACCGTACCAAACGATGCGGTTTACAATTTTGGAAAAGCTTTGGCGGCTGGCGAAAGCCAGTCTTTCAATGACAAACACACAACAACCTTTTAGACGAGATCACACGGTGGCGCGTTTGCATCCTCACTACTGGCTAGTCACAATGTTCTGAAATAACTGTCCCTCACTTCTCTGCTCGTCTATCTGTGATATATTCTATGCAACTTGCGCAGCAATTGACTGAGGGCTTTAGTTGCGCTGGTGCGTGTTGCGTTTTTGAATTACGTCAGCCAGCTTGCCGCAAGTAATTAGGAGTTCCACCTAATATGATCGATAGTAATGTAGGTTGCATCCCGTTACCTTCAACTTCCGGTCCCCGTAATCTTTTTTCAACCTATTTTCCGTTTGTTCTCATAGTTAACTACGGGCCCAGTATATCTGATCATACCTTAACAAATCGAATAAACTAACAATATCCCCTTCCATTTTGGCTAAACGTGACACCGTCGTGAGATGATCGCTTCACCTCGTAACCTCTCAGCAGTTGTCGACTCGAAGCGATGCACACGCATCCACATATGCGGATCACTTGTTTCGAAACTAATGCCTTTTGTCTAGTTACCAACTGATGATGATGATGGGATGCTCTATATTGATGCACCCCTCGCTATAATTTTTAAAACAAACACTGTGGTATTTATGTCAGACGTGGTTTTGTACCGAGGCTTTCTCTTTTCCTGATTGGTTCTCACAACCTACACCCGGATGTGTTACGTATTGACAGGGGTTTCTCTGTCCCGCTCTTTTCACTTCCTCAGCACAATGCCATTCCGATGTGCAGTGTACATACTGGACTGCTTTTTCTACGATGGTGCCAGAGTAAGCTTTCATTGTGCAGGTCTCATCGTTAGTTTGTGTGCGAATATATGTTATTGTTGTTTATTGGATTATTGTTTTTGAACCCTTTCCCTCAAAGTTTTTTAATATTGAAAACTTTTATTCGTGACTGGCTTCTTCACCATTGTTTGTTAACCAGTCCGTTGAGTAACATTAGGTTTCGGATGATAAGGGAGCGGTCGCCCTCATCTGCCCAAGCTTCCTTACCTTGTTAACTAGTGAGGGCGTTACTGTGGCATGAACGAAGCGCCGAAGAGCGCAATCTTTGTTGCACGTGACAACGGCTAACCAAACTCACACGCACGAGCATGTGTATAAGTCATGCTTCCGTTCCACAACTCATCACATATGGCAAGTGACTGTCCGCTACATCCAGACGTCAGTTCATCTGAATTTAGACCCAGTATCTTCGCTTCCCTAAGTCTTATTCTGACCAGCCTGGATTCGTTCTAATGCTCTTCATTTGCTTGATCACGGTTCCGTTATTGTGCTTGTGGTTACTCCCGTAGAATCGACAAGGCGTTTCTGTTTAAGTTATTGGCTTTTCGACCAATACCTTTTATGTGTCCTCTGTCTCAGACCCGCTACCGCTTGTCGCTCGCGATCCGCTTTCAGCTCGTTCTGTGGACCTTACGTTGCGCCGTCCAATCTTGTCCATAGTGACCGTGTTTGTCAACGTTCTCTCTCGTTTTTATGGCTTTCCTGTAATCGGCGTGATCGTTGCTTTCCGCGCCCCTCTGAAGGACAGTCCTCACATCAGCGCGATTCTTTTTTAGCAGAGTTATGCTTACTATGAATTCTTTTCAAGCTAATTCATATCGGAAGAGTAGTAGGGGGAGTTGAATGGTATAGGTAGAAATTCGTCACATCTAGACTCACTCAGACAGCCGTCACACGCCCGGAAAAGCACTGTACGCGCGTTTCATCCTTTCGGGAATCATCAGCAATGCGCATTCCATCGGACCAAGGTATGGCTCGAACCCGCAACTCGACTGTTGCCAGTCCGTAGTTGAGACCACTGAGCTACGGGGGATGGCAACAACCATCGTGAATAAGTTACTAGATGTGATATAGCGCCGCTCACTATCCACTGACTTGCACGTTACTGCCATGCGGAGGACAGGGTAGCCCCCTCACCAAGCGACGAGCTTACCAAACTTGAACCGCCAATTGACTTATGGCATTATAAGCAGTGAGTATGCCGCACCCCGAGACACACTGCGGCCCACACGCTCTCACCACCCTTTCCTTATCACTAGCCCAAATTCCATGCCAGCTGATTCTCGACAACGCTATGTGTGAGCGACTTCCTGTCATTATTCCTAACGGCCAATTCATTCGGACTCAGTCATGTGGGTGCTTAGCAGTATACGGACAGCTCAGCGATGAAATAGGCGGACACCGCGGAATCAAATTTCACGTATAAATGCAAATGCCTGAAAGGTTACGTGCCAACCACCATGATCACGCGTGACTGCCAATCCCAGGTATGCCCCATAGCATGCGTGTAGCTTCATTGTAGCCAACCGTGCCTGAACACGAGTGTAACTACGCACCCGCCAACTCGCACGCTATCTGCGCCACATCCAACCCATGTCATGAAGTCGTCTGATATGCCATTGGTTGATTTGGGATTGGTCCCTCAATGAGTGGCGCACTTTGAGGCGTTCGCGGCGGGAAGATGATATTTGATTGCCTTAAGGGTCTTTCAGAAAGCTGTATGGATGAGCCCTATTTCCTTAGGACTGAGTTTAAAAGCGTTATGAATGCAATTAACTGAGAAAAGGTATGGAAGAGTCAGCTTACATCCAATCAGACATTGCCGTTCTCGCGCTAATTGGCCAGTTTACTTAATTGGCTACATGTCCGCCCAATCCATGCAGGAGAGTGACGCTCACCGGCCAGGCTTTGGCTCCGTATTGGTGCCTCAGTTGTTTGCTTGGAAATTTCCTTCCTAACACCAACGATAACCCAGTCTTAGAGCTGAAAATGATGCCCACCCCACTTTGACCATTGGTTGCCGCATCAGCGTCTCCAGATGCCTGTAACCAATGTCGAGAGAACAAGCCGGGCAATTTTAATTCAACAAACCCGCGAGGATCATTGATCCTACTTTCGGATACGCAACATGTTAATACCCAGCGTTTGTGCCAGTGTAGCCTGTTGACCTAGTAGAGTGCGAAAGTTGAACGCCGCTAAGGAAACGGTGCAGCGTGGCATTATAAGAGACTGTTGCCGATAGTGGTCAATTGGATGTTGTGGGAATGCGGCTGCAGATTCTGTGACTGCAGTGGAACTGCAGCTGCTATCAATTAAGGTAGGAAGTATGGAGGAAAGATTAGTTCTGGGAGCTGGAATGGGGGTAAGAGAATCAGGTGGAAAAAAGAGGGGAGGCGCCAGCAGTAGCATATTTTCTCTTATCCGTCCTGCTGTATGCAGCGGATAAGGCGACCCTTGATAAGCTGTGCGACGACCGATGCAGGATGTAGTTAAAGTTTGAGGAAATTGTCATGGGTGGATGATGTGGGTTCTCAATGAAAGTCGTTAGCTCAAAAGCTTGTCTGCAAGGCGGCGGAGGTGGAAACGAATCAGTTTTATAGAAGTGGATGCCATCCCATTTCAAACCCCCACCTGGAGAACCAGGAGACTGAGTTTGTTTGACCTCCAATCTTTGGGCAGCCTGATATGAGTGACTCTCAATGGCCTGTGGGCCCCATCCAGTATAGCTCAGTGGGTCAGAGGTACGCTTACCGTCGCACAACAATAAGGTCCAGTCTCCTTTCGAGGGTCAGTCTCAACAGTAATCTGAGAGCCCACTGCCTCAAGCTGGCGGAGCAGTACATTTGTTTAGAATACCGTCGGAATTTCTTTTCTGGACGTATTTGCCAAGCGTGGAGTGCCCTCCTGGGATCTGTCATCTGTGCTCCCACGGTGGTGGAGTTAAAGGTCGGAGTTGGCCATGCACTCATTTCGCTGTACCATTTCACATGACTCATTGCCAGACACAATTATCTTTTAGAGAAATCACTACCGGTCAGCACCCAAAATACGTGCCACCTTTTGCACCAAGGGTGATACCGTTTTCACAATGGTCGCAATGATCGTCATTTCTTATGGAATTACAGTGGATTTACAGTTTTTAACATCCCTCAGTGTGTCCACCAGCGTGAACTTATTATTGCTGATAGATTTTCTATATTTTGCAGTAACAAAAGTTAAGCTTTAATTTTTTGCCGTATTAAGCCGTTGCTCCAATTTAGGCGTCTTTTTCCGAAGAGCTACCCAAGTGAGATGTGTAGTTTTCCTGGTCATCCAAGATTCACAACCTGGTAGTGAACTTCTGATTGGTTTTCAGCGGACAGTCAGCGAGTTCCGAATCTTGTGACGTCAAGTGCATGTTACGTCGCTAGATGGGGCGACTGCCTGCCAAAGCATACCTTATTACAGACCGAAGCTAAAGTAGCTCATTCTCCACCCGTTTACCACAGGTTTCTAACCAGAATACTTGCTGATTGTATGTCTATCGGACAATCTACTCTGCAGGCATACTGCCGAATACTGAAAGCCATAGAACGGATACTAGTTTTATTTGTTATGTTAACCAGCCATCTCCGATCATGGTTTGGGGGCGTGAGCATCTTGTTTATCAACGATCACTCACTCTACGAGTTCCTTAGCATCACTCTTTCTGTGCAGCTCTTTGCATTGCACAATTCATGACCGTGCGACTGTAGAGCATCAATTGCAGTGTTATCGTTCGGCCGCTCCTTTTGTGAACCTTACTCCAAGTCACGTGGGTTGTTAGAATTTGCAGATAATAAAATCAGACTGATTAGTTGCACCGGTGACACCAACTGGTTGAAGTCGCTCCACCGAGTGAGTGCACCGTCCACTGCATTTTTGGCGGTTTCTGCTGACATTCTGTGTGTTCGTGTGAGATGTCATAGTTTAAACACACCATATCAATGCTTGTTCCTCTTCACATTGTCGTACACTCAACTGCCACGATGTCAGACACTCCTCGTCGCTCAGCTAACGTGTCTCATTTCATGAGAACCAACTAGCCTACCAGGAACCAAGTTGACGAGACTCTCAATGCATGGTTTTCACATCCCGGATCCCCTCTATTGTAATCTGGATGCACTCTGCTCTTCACTTTCCTTTAGCAGTATCACATACCTGATTGTAAGCTTTGTTATCCTATGGAGCAGACCATTATCTTGTTCACATTCGTAGCAGTGGTAAACCTCTGCAATCACTTCTAACCAAACAATTTGAATATTAGGTGATTTTCCAAGTGGCTTTGGAAATTTTGAGACGGCACGCTCAACTCATCGAGTCTTGCTTGTTGCGGAATGAAGAGAGTGAATTACTGCAACGTCTGGGCGCATTTTTTGCCAGATTGGGCGTCAGGGCCTCCGATGACGAACTCGAAGATACAACTAGCAATGCATTCTCGTCAGCTTCATCTTCTCGATGGGAGCACCAGAACCTCGGAGCCAAGCCGAAATTCGTCGACGAATTCGAACTTCCCAGTGATCAGTGCCAATCGGATTCGCTCTTCATTGAACCGGTTCATCGACTCATAGCGGAAGCATATCGGAATTTCCCCACCATCACAAATGAGCTGATAAACTCCATGCGAATGCGCCGCCGTCTTCCAGTTATACACGCTCTCAGTCGGGCTGCTTGCCGTGATGTGGTTCGTAGTTTGGAACAGTACGCGATCATGCCTCCGAAGGACTTGTTGGAACTGTTTGTTATCTTTCGGGTGAGTCGATTCTTTTATTGTGTTGTACTATCGAGCGCCATCTGAATGAATGCTTTCTCTCTGTTGGACTCCAAGAAACATACTGACAGACCCCTTGCTGTAATTTATATTGCAACTGGCTGCCGTTACTATTTCTTGCTTATTTAAGGTAAGTAGTTTTGAATGTTTGTTTGCAATATTTTCAAATTTCTAATCCGTGTTCTTTTAACTGACTAAAATATGTGCCAATTAGATTGGCGCAACATTCATTTTTCCGTTCTTTAATCAACAGTGATGAACCAATGTAGGAACCATCGACAAACGATGAACTAGGAGAGGAAATATAAAAGCAGAAATTTCTGGCGGGCAAAATGCGTTTCTAAAGTTAAGAACCAAATCAAACCACGCCGAGCAGACTGCTCTAAATATATGCGAAACCCTGGCTACACCATCCAGAGCTTAACGTAGGTAATAGTGTCCCCACGATCTCAATATTTGATTCTGCACCAAGCGTGCTGGGTACCATTTTTATTTATGTGGTCCAACTGACGGTTTGTAGTGTTCAGTTACCTCCACTTCGATTACACTAGACTGCAGCACCTGAGCTGATGGGCTTGGTAGATTTCCTTATGTGGCCGAACGTTTGAAGCAGCTTTCTAGCAGTTGTGGTATCAATAGCGAATGCGGTTGATCAGATAAGGGCATTCCACCAGTGGGGCGCAAAGTGTGCCATTAATATTTCTCCTGTTTCCGTACTACACCGTTTCCCGGCCAAGTTATCCTCTTGGGCAACAGAAATAATCTGAGGGGACATTCAACATGAGTCTACTCAATTAATTTGTTCCGTGCGTAGGAGCTGAAGCGTCCCACCTGCACCCCTATGACTTAGTGCGTCTGATGTCCAATTGGCTGAAGGCGACGGGCTATACACGCACACCTACACACCTGCACAAGTGACTGGCATACGCACGGAACAAACTAATTGAGTAGACTCATGTTGAATGCCTCCTCAGATTATTCCTGTTGCCCAAGAAATGAAATGAAAATGTGTCAGCTTATACGCCGTAACGGCGCTTCGCTGCCGCGCGACCACCACCAGTTGCGCGCGGGCTGAGTATACCGCGAGGACGCCCACCCCTACGCGGATTCGAACCGGTGACCTTATGGTTGGAAAGCAAACGCGCCGACCACTCGGCCACCGGCCGACGTTGCCTAAGAGGACAACTTGGCCGGGAAATTGTATAGTAGTGGCTAGAACTCCATCATATGCACACTTTGTTTATCCGCCTGGGTTCCAACCCCCTATGACCTGCACGCCAATTTACTAATGCTAACGAAATTATCGGATGTAGTCAGGAGACAGATCTTACGGTCCCATGCCTTCTTTGTTCTCTTGTAGGAATATTACATAACTTCCAGATTTTACCGTCAACATCAAGTGCAACCAGCCACTTCCCATCACCTGGCTTACAATCCCAACAGGCCAGCGTACGACATGCATCGCATAGACTCTGAACAGTTCACCGATCTTTTCAAAGGCCTTGTCCCATGGGCTCAGAATGATGTTACGTTAGCTCTGCCTTGCTTCCATCTTCTGGACCTGGACCGAGATAATCTGATTAATTTCAAGGTATATCTCCGATGCCATTCCTCTTTTTCATCTATGCTGTGTTCTCAGTTTTCGTAAGGGCATTCCTCCAAACATCATCTCCCCAAACATTTTGAGCAGCTACTTTAGAACGAATATATGTAGTGATCATTTCTAGTCAACTAGATCTGGCCATGCAAATAGCGAAAGTATGCACACCCACACAATACAACTTTCAATGATAACTGTTTGATAGTTTCATTCTCCCTTGGTAAGGAAAAACTTTTTGACTTCATTGGGGTTTGGAACAATCGGTTAGCGTGCTTTTTGGACAACATATCGTTTTTGACACAAAAGCTTCGTCAAGCCAGGTGGAATCAGTGTACTATGCTACGCTAATTCACCTGGCCTGACGAAGCTTTTGTGTCCAAAACGAAACATTGCGCAACATGCCCACAAACCGATTGTCCCCAAACCTCTCTGAACTCATAATGTCCTGATCGGTTCCACGAATGTTCCGCGAAAATCTTTTTGCTTTGGCTTGCTTAATCATTTTCGCCATTTGATGTCCACCCATTATCTCAGGACTTCTCTTGGTTGATGGCATGTGTTTGTGGCTCGGATTGGAAGCTGAAGTTGAAACTACTGCATCATCTGCACTTGGTATCCAATTGGCAATTTGCCGATCAACACGTTGCATCAGATCAAACACGGGAATCGACTTCAAGGCCACAGGAAAGCCGCCATCGAACCAAAACAGTCAACGGAGATGTCTACGCGTCTGCTTCCACTCTATCTGTAGCCAGCAGCACGGATGACACGTTATCTTCCGATTCCGATTTGGACTTAATGGAACCGGGAATGGAGGTCACAGAGGAAATGTTCGTTGCTTACAGTTCTGATAGCGACAAAGAACCCCCCGCATCCCCGTTATCATCGCATTTCATCCCCAACCTTATTGCTCAAACGGAGCGTCCCGCTTCAACAAATAACACTGAAAAAACGAAGTGTCATCCCATCTCATCTTCTCCAATGGTTGGAGTGACTCAAGGTTTCTACTTGAGTTCTGATGATTCGGTGCCCCCACTCACCCAGGAGAATTTTGTCTCCCTCCTCACAGTAAGCATTTTTCCTTACGCGCATTACCAATGGACGACTGCTTCTCACTCGGTTTCCGAAATAGTAGGGGAGTAACGTGTCCGTACGCCAAACAGGTGTAGCTAATTCACTTATTCAAATCGGTTGCTTACACATCCCCCGTTAGATAAATAAGGAAACATGGGGAAATTCATGGACAATTAACGTACGCCGCCGTTGGTGAAGTCACGGCAATCAGGTCTCATTTGCTGCAACCTGTAATTGTGTGGATTAAGATCTTGGAGTGGTGAAGATGTCTATCCGCTGGAGTAGATGGACGCTCCATCCTTTACCTTTGAACTCCAAATAGTTAAATCCAAACCAACCCTTGTGGTGTTGGAATATTTTGGCGAAAGCAGTTCCTACCCAACTGATAAGCCCATTTTCCCATAAGCTTTTCTGTGCTCTGTTTAGACAGATCATCCAGGTTCGCTGCTGGAAGCAGGAACAGCCATGGGGAATGAGCCAGTTGAATCCTCCACCACGCTGCACAGAGCATATATATATATATATATATATATATATATATATATATATATATATATATATATAATATCAGTTGGGTGGGAACTGCTTTCGCCAACATATTCCAACATCACATATTCATCACATATTCCAACATCATATACGCTGTGACTGATGTTGCATTCATGATGCTTCTTCACCGCAGTTGGGTTAAACCCACTTACACTTAAACTAGGTCTTTTTAAGCTGGATAAATTTCATTCCACTTTATTTGGTTTTTTCTGCCTACCTGAATAATCTTCTGTTAATTTGCACACGTTACTTACGCTAATTGTGGTTATCTTCTTTAACCTTTTCGAGTTTTTAGTAATTTCTGGATATTTTGCACTTATCACGGATTCGTTGCTAACCGATTTCCTTGATGTAGCGAAGAGTAATGTCGGCTGGACCTTACCGTGGTGCGATGATTTGCGTGCCGCAAAAATCCATTGAGCTATGCTGGGTAGTGCATTTTTGCACCTTCAGAGCCACTCATACCAGATTTGCCAACGGTTAGAGGCCAGACCAATTCAGCCTCTTAGTGCTCCAGGATTGGGGTTGGAGTGAGGGTGGCACCTTATTCCTTAAAACGGACACCTTGTAGCCCAACACCAAACCCGCTGCTTTGAGGTCAGGTTTTGAATTAAAGGCTATGGTTGGGAACCCTAATCGATCTCCTGTCTAGGCCTGGGCAACCTGAAAATATCCTGCCCACACAACACACCATGATTTTTCCTTTTAACAATATCTTGATGCTTTGACCGTCGCAGAGGATAATCAACGGTGCCCTATCTGCTGCATCGAGCAGGGTTAATAGGGGTTTGGATGCTACTGCTCAAGCCTTTCCGCCTTCTTATTCCCCCCTCTTACGCTTTATCTCTCTTACCGTCCCATTCCAGCTTCACTTTTATCCCTCCTGTTTTCAACCGCCCAATTCTTGGCCCTCCCCTACCGTGCATTGTTAGGCTTTTACCTTCTAATTTCAACTTACATGTGAAAGCGGAGCGTCATTCCTGTCCTGTCAACAAGCCCATGTCCAACCAGGCGGCCAAACCCAGTTCATTGACTTCCATTTGGAGCCCTTGATCATCCTTCAGATTGGCATTCCTCAGTGTACGCACACTGCTACAAATCGGTCAACAGGCAGCACTTGCCCGAACATTAGAGACCCTCTCGATCGATATCTGCTGGTTATCAGAGACCCGCCTGTAAGACTCTAGCTCTGTGCTCACTTTGCGATCCCCTTCAGGTGACACCAGCAGCACTTTCTCATTGCGTCTACCCGGTGACGATGCAGCTTCGAGCACCGGCCAAGCCGGTGTTTGTAGTGCCCTGAGTCCCCGGGCTGAAGCTGCTCTGGTTGATTGGACTCCAATCCGTAGCCGGTTGTGTGCGGTCCGATTGGTTGGCTCGTTCAAAGCTTCGAAGTCGCGCGGGACTAGCAGGTGTCTATTTGTCATCGCTGCCTATGCACCCACAAACTCTAGCGTTCATTTAATAAAAGATGGCTTCTATCGCCAATTGAACGAGCACCTACGCTACAGCAGAAGCACGGACACTGTTGTACTGGCTGTGGATCTGAAGGCTCAAGTTGGAATATTATCCACTGATGAACTGCATCTGGGCGGCCAACATGGTATAGGCTCCCGTAATGATAACGGTGAGCGGTTACTCCATTTGTGTAAGGATGCTCGCTTATTTCTTGCGAGCACTAATTTCTGACACAGCACCCACCGGAGTTTGACTTGGAGCCCACCAGCCTCGAACCAGCTATAGAGGCAAATCGATCACATTGCGATAAGTTACTGATGGAGAGGCTGGGTCCAAAACTGTTGCTCGATTTGGAGCACATGTGTGGACACCGACCATGCATTTGTGTGTGCTGACCTGCGGATGCGTTTTGGCCGGCGTCCACGACGACGTTGTGAGCGCATTGACACCAGCCAACTGGCGAAGCCATCTGTTCTGAATGCCTCTCAAAGTGCGCTGTCATGGGGGTTGAGTAAGCGCTCACTGCGTGCAGTTGAAGCTTACTGGTCTCATATTCACCAAACCTTACTAGAAGCAAGAAAATCCTCATGTGGTAAGTTTAATAGCCAACATGAACATTGGGTGTCTTCGCGGTCTCTGGAACTTCTTGATGCTCGCCCGCATATTCCGGCTGGAAGCAAACAAAATGAAACTAGCAAAAAGCCCCGGGCAAAATTCCGTGCTAGCCTGAAGAGAGACCGCGAATCCTGGTGGTCTCATCGTGCTTCAGAGATGGAAATGGCCGCTGCCCTTGGTAACCATCGGAAGTTCTTCAAGTTGATACGGGAAGCTCCCAGCAGGAGACCTGGTGTAACTAAAACTATACGTGACGAGAGTGGACAGCCTATCCACAACTTGTCAAAACGCTTGGAGTGTTGGGCTGAGCACTTAATCGGTCGGAATTATTAGATTTCTCGCCGGCAACTGATCGCCCCGTTCCCTGGGCTGTCCCTTTGGATCCACCCTCTCGCTCAGAAGTCAAACGTGAGATCGCACTGTTGAAGTTAAATAAAGCCGCGGGACCAGATGATCTTCCTCCAGTCCTCTTCAAACTCAGCGGACCTGCTCTTGTGGATGATTTACACGAGTTACTATTGAAACTGTGGGAGCAGGAAACTGTGCCAACCGACTGGAGCCGCTCCGTCATAGTCCCAATTTTCAAGGGAGGCTCACGATCGGATTGCGCCAGCCATAGAGGAATCAGTCTGATCGCCATCGCCTCCAAATTGCTTGCTCTGTCATCCTTCACAGACTGACTGTCACTCGTGAAAGCCATATTCGTGAAAAGCAAGGCGGGTTTCGTCGAGGTCTTGACTGCATTGACCACATCTTCACTTTGCGCCAGTTGTTGGAGCACGGTCACATATATTGGTGGCCCAACGTAGTCGTTTTCCTCGATATCAAAGGTGCATTCGATTCGGTGGATAGACGTGCACTTTGGGACTGTCTACTCAGGAAAGGTGTACCTAAGAACTATGTACATATTATCCGAGCATTATACGCGCGTAGCTCAGGCAGAGTGAGGGCTTTTGGCAAGCTGACGGCATCTGCTTTCGGATTTGGCTCTCACTGTGGCCAGCCACAGGACGCCTGCGCCTACAGAGGGACTATGGATGGCTTGCGCAGCATCACTCACACTTCCACCCACACACTCCCATAAGGCCTCATCATCATCATCATCATCATCATTTAGCGTTATACTTCGTAACTATCTGTAATAATTCAGCATAACTTCTGTGTCTCTTAATTACACCCATTTGCTCGTATCGATCGTAGTTATTTTTAAAATGACGAAGCAGTCTCCTTGTGGAATTTGCTGCAAGATCGTCGGACATAGAGCTAATGCGATTTCATGCAGTCTCTGCAGCGCAAGGCTTCATATTTCGTGCGTTGGTCTGACTGTAGACCAATTTCGTATAATTCAGGGCATTAAGAGCGAATTTTTGAAGACCGTTTGTAAGCAATGCCAAGCTAATCTTGTGCAGAATAAAACGCACGTCTAACAAGCGGATCAGCACAACGAAGTGCTCTAAAATGCCCAGCTCGCCTTGTGCTTCACCACAGTCAGTGAAGCAGCCAACGCCTAGTACCTCGTCGCATCCATCGCGGAAACAAGGTACTAAAGTTCCATCAGACTCTCCCTCAAGACCTACTATATGTTCAGCTGAAAGTAAAGTTCCAATTTGCAATAAACAAACTGAGGATAACGATTGGAGAGTACAAACATCGAAGAAACCAAGACCAATATCTAATGACCTGAGGCGCCGTAGCCTCATGGTCTTTTACGCACCTGAGTCAGGTGATTCTAATCCTCAGGTGCGTTATGCACATGACGTCGAATATTTGCAATCATTGATTGACAAACTACTCGATGTAAATGAAGACGGGCTCAAAGTTCAGCAGATCGCCCGTCTAGGAAAGAGAATGGAGGGCAAAAGTCGGCCCATGAGGGTGACATTTGCCGAAGAAGCAAGTACCAAGTTACTATTGTCTCGCCTTAATAGGCTGAAGGGTATGAAGATCCACGTGCGCGCTGACTTAGAACCGGCAGACAGAGAGAAACTCAAGTCTGCCATGATTGAACTAAAGCGGCGTACGGAGGATGGAGAAACAAACCTCCGTATTGTAAATTTTCGAGTAGTTGCCCGGGTTCCTCCACAAATCCGCATCAACAGGTTGCTAATACTTCAGGCGCGCCCAGCGGGTCCTACCGCGGTCTGCGCGTAGCCTTTACTAACGTATGCAGTATGGTATGCAGTATGAACAAGCGCGATGTGCTGTACGACTTCGTAAGCTCTCAGCGACCGGACGTATTAGGCCTTGCTGGGACATGGTTAAACTCCGAGGTTAGCGCCCAAGAAGTGGAAATCACTGGCTACTCATGCTTCCGCTGTGATAGACCGTCAAATGATCGCGGTGGCGTTCTACTTTACATAAAGTCTTCCTTG